CTTGTATAATCAAATACTATGCTGCTATTTAAAAGCATACTGAAATACTTGTAAGTGACATGGGAAAAATGCCTCTGGGTTCCGCGAAACATACACATATCTCAATTATGATGAAAAAAATTTGGCAGGAGATATTCAAAATGTTAAAGGAGTTCTTTTCTTTAGAGTGGAATCAGAGGTATTTTTACTTTTTCCCTCCATTTTGAAATACTTAACCAAACTTTCAACAGTTAGCATTTAGTATTTTTATAATTAGAAAACATTGAACGGCATTTTGAAATCTATTCCATTAACATAGAATAGACTGAAGGGAAAAAAAATCCCTCCCTCCCCCATGGTTGCTTGGAAACTTGGCTTGAGATTGCCATTTCTGTCTCTAGGTACTTTGCAAAGTGGAACATACAATGGGCAGTTTTATTATTACTTAAGGCAAGCTCTGCCTGGGGGGTCTCTTCCATCACTTACAGATCTTGGATAAAGAGTCCCTTCTCAGCAGTGGCCAATGTCAGACACACACCCTTTTTCATTCTTTTACCTCCTGGTCTGGAGAGGGTGGGGGGATGTATTTCCCTACTTAGTAGACAAAAAAGACATTTATTAAACTATTTTTCCTGGGCCTTTCTCTTTTTCCATTTTGTGGTATTAGTAATTTGAGACCCTTATATTGTGAAAGCCTAATGCTCGGTTCCCTAAGTTAGAAAGGACTTAACGTTCCCTTTATGCAACTTACTCTACAATTCTAACAATCCATATACAAAGCTCTTCATTCACACATAAAAACTTTGGGTCTTTGAATTATTATGAACTATCATACTGGACCCAACCAGATTCAGTGAATCATCTAGGGCAATCAGAAATACCCACAGTTATCATCTTGGTGTGGCAGAGGGAATTACCAGACACTGGGCAGAACACATTTCTTCTCAAGTTTGGAGAACAATTTCAAACTTCTTTACTCCTTTGAAGTCTTCATAATGAAGTTGTATTTAACATTTTAGGTGCCATTAAGTACCCTGAAACAAAGTTCACTGATTTATTCTACATAATTTGGTGAACTTGGCTTTTAAGGAATTCAGGGACTTTGTACCAAGTTTAGTTTTAAATAGAAATAAAAGTCCTTTGAACATGGTGACAACAGAGATATGTGCAGATACTTTTAAAAAATACATTGTTCAAAATCTATCTTAGCAATCTGCAGTGCTCTAGTGATAAAGACTAAATAATTTCTAAATAATTTTATTGTGAAGTATCCGCTGCTTCTTATCTTCCTCCCTTCTAACCAAAGGCAAAATAAGATACACTGTTGATTTATCAATATGAATTATCTGTATAGTTTGGTTCTTCTCCTGTGAACCTCTTGGTCACAATCCCTTCGTTCCTCAGAACCCTTTTTATGACTGTCTTACACCATGAAATTCAAAATTTGACTGCTAAGATTAAGTTTAAACCCTGGCTGGGAACCAGAAAAGCCAGAAACTTATTCCTAAATTTCTAACAAATCCCAGGTGGATTTCAGCAGCGGGGGGCCTGACTGGAGGAGGTGGAGAGCAGGAAGGCCAAGGGCCAGGCAGATGTGGGCTCGAGTCTTGGCTCCTCCCCATAATACCTGCGTGATCTTGGACAAGTGACTCTACTTGCCCCTAACCTCTCAGTTTTTCCACACTTTGTAACATGTGCTAGAAGCACATACCAACTAGTCAGTTAATGGAAACAACTAATAGTTTTGATTTTCAATCTGTAAAAAATAGAGATAAAATGATAATTCTAGATATTATAAAGTGTACTAAGCACCCACAGGGTTCTACAAACACGATTTTACTTTCTGCGATAATGGACTGATTGTCATTGTTTCCTAGAGTGTTTTCATTTACTATTAAAAAGCAGGTTATTCTAGATCAAGCAGCTTTTCTCCCCCATGTAGGACGCACCCCTCCCTCGCAACCCCCCAAAATTACTGCCACCACCAAAATTTAAAATGTGATAACAGGTTTTGCTAACCTTGTTAGAACACTCCATAATATTTGGGTTTCCTCCCTGACTGAGCCATAAAATTATAGGGAAATCTATCTACAACTGAATGTTCATACATCAGGAGGCTTTGGATGAATCACTGCAGGCTTCTTCCTAGCCAGCCCCTCCCCCACACACACCGACAGCTCTGAGATAATTTATGAATATGTAATACCTTTACACCATCGCATATGTGCTGTTTATTCAAATTTCAGTGGAATCCTGCATATAGCTGGATTTCCATTTTAAAAGTTCTATCCACATTTTGTTTACAGAAACAGCAAACTGAGACGTTTATAACCATAAAAAAAACCCCTCATCTTATATTATTTATATTATCTTTTGTTCTTGACAAGTCAGAGACTTAACAGCTAATGAGATGTTTTATTTTTTTAATTTTGCATTTCTTGTTCATCTCTAGGACATGTGACCCAAGGGCTGCTTTGACCTTTGACCCCTGTACTCCTCTGTTACCCCTCTACTGGAAGATGAGTCAATTTTTGAAATATGAAGTCTTGTCCACTCAAGGTAAGGTGTAACACACCTGCACACTCTGAAGGAATGGTGGAGATCTACATGCATCCATCTGTCTAGAACATGATTAAAAACCCACATCAGGAGCAAAGTATTTTCTGAAGTCTAAAGCAGACCACTTTTGCAGATAGGTTCATTTTCCTCCTCTCTGTTGTGTTTTAAAGCGGTTGGGGTAAAATGTACTTCTATTCTTACCCACAGGTGACTGGGTCACTCTTCGATTCCTACAGTAATTCTCCTTCAGCTTAAGAAAATGTAAGTTCTGTTCCTCTACCCTTGTACAATTTTGCAAAACAATTATCATCTGATACCAGATGGCAAAAGAAGGTTTTTGGAAACCTATCAGTCCCTTCCCCCCTAACTACTCTGACAGACTATCTCCACCACCAGGCAGCCTGTAACCTCATAAACACACCGGCACTTAAGGGATAAGGGCCTCAGACAACACTTGCTGATAAAACATTTGTGCAAAGAGACAACTCTTCCAGTACTTTATGTACGTCGGCTTTGATAATCAGGTTAGCAACATTTTAAGGATGCGTCTGCATTATTAGACCCACTAAGATAAACCGAATGTGTGACTGTTTCTTATGTCTAGTCTCCCTTTTGGGACCTCAGGAGATCTTTTCCCTTACACTAAAATCAAATGCTTAGTTATATCTGCCTGGTACTAAATCAAGGCAAATGTGAGGCAATACTATGGTATGTTTCAGGTCATTTAATTACGACAAAGAATACTCTCACCTCCACCAGTTATCCCATATAATTTTCTTTCTCTTATTCCCTCCCTCTCTCGCTCTCATGTACGCGTTCACTGTCTCTGTTTCTCTCTCTCTCTCTCTCTCTCTCTCTCACACACACACACACACACACACACACACACTATAACAGCTCAGGGAGAAGGGATCAGGTGAGCAGCCCCGGCTTTCTGACCTTTGGGATCGCTCCAAGAAAATAAGCCTTAAATAGTAGAAGGTGCAGGTGAGCTTACAGCACTGGACTCATCTAAAATGTGCAGGGCAGTGTAGTAAATTCAGTCCTAGAACCTTTCCACAGATTATACAAAGCACCCGAAATCCCCAGTGCTATGAGAGAAGAGAAGGTGGGCAGAAAGGAGGCGGAGCAGCAGAGATGCCCAGGGGAGACCCTAGTGAGCAAAGCGGCAACAGAAAAAATATAATAGTTCACCGGAGGAAATTAGTTTGCTTACCAGGCAAAGATCTCTAGACACTATACCATTTTGTGAACACTTCTGGGCCAGAAAATTTGAAGTACACGTAGCTTACAATGGGGGCTAAGTATTAGTGAGCTTACAGAGTTGAATCAAGCAAAAGTTCTGAGTACAGAGAGACAAATCCAAACAGATACTCATCAGAGGGAGCAGTCAAACAGACCCCCTTCTGAAAGGGGGTATTTTAAAAAACAAAAAGTGCACCAACACAGGTGCATTTTTTTATACATATATTCCTTGAAGTCTCTCCACTTAAAGTCAAAGAAATAAGATAGTACAATATCGGGAGTGAGGCTCATCACTCGCTGGGGCCAGTCCCCACACCTGCCTCCTTGACAGGAGGCAAGCCACTGCCTCCCACCCCCATCCTCTCCCTGGCCTTCAAACGCAGCTGCATCCCGCTGGAGGCTCTGCGAAAAAGGTTCCCACAGGCAAAGTGCAGAGTACCAGTGCCCCACTGCTGGGAGAGTCTGCAGCGCTGGGGATTTGCAATGACGCCACATGGAGAGAAACGGGGGGAAAACATGAAAAAGAAACAAGGACGAGAAGGCAACAAACAAAAATGCACTCCCCTGCTTTAGTGGTCCAAAAGGGAAAAAAAAGGTGGGGGGGGGAGAGAAAGCCCAAATTAGAGATGGTCAACGGTTAGCTTATCAGGACACATTTGGGTACCCTTAATCCATACCTGGCAAAAAAAAAAAAAAAAAAAAAAAAAAAAGAAAGAAAGAAAATTAGAAGTACCTGGGAAATGAACTTGGACACGTTCTAATACAAATCTCCCCATCATCGCCATCACCATCACCACCAGCACCGCGTAAATAAAAACCAAGCACTTGAGCTATTAGCAACTACATTCTACTTACAGACCTGACGTTTACATAATAACAAATTACATAATACTCCTGCTGTGCACTAAAAACCCTTCTATAGGTGAAGCTCTAAACCCTCTCGTCTTTTAACATTTTCCAGAGAGAGCTGGAAAAGTCTGCTGAATAACTGGGGGGAGGGGGAGATGGAGTGCTGGAAAAGTCATCCTTGACAAGCTGCAAGCCAACCAAATGTTCCCGGATAAAAAGGGACTCGGAGCAGGTGACTCCCCGCTGCTTTCATCCCCTGGCGTCCGGGTGTCTAAGGCCAAGGCAGAGCGAGCCCGGCGCGGGGCGCAGGGCGCGGGGTTCAGGGCGGAACTGCCCGGGGCCGGGTGAGGGGCGCGGCCGGGGCTTACCTGCTCCCCGAAGTCGATGGCTATGTTGGTGATGCCCAGGGGCACCAGGAACCGGATCAGGGGCCAGTAGTGCGTGAGCGCCGGGAATTTCACCATAGTCCCCGCCGTGGGCTGACCCCACACACATCTGCCGCCGCGAGGGGACTCTGCCGGGAGGCGCGGGGCGAGTGGGCCGAGCGGGGGCGCGGGCGGACGGAGGCCGGGTCCGGCGGGGCCTCGGGGCGGCGGCGGCTCCTCCTCGCGGCTGCGGCGCCCTCTCCAAGCGCGGCTGCTCTAGCAGGAGATCCGCAAGCTCAAGTCCATCCCTGCTGCCCTCCCACACAACAAAGATCTGCCGGGAAAAAAAAGAGGAGGGACAGCGGCGGCGGCGGCGGCAGCAGAAGGTTCTGCTGACAGCGGCTCCATTATAAGCGCTCTGGGGCCCGGAAATAAATAAATAACCGCGCGCACGAGGCGCCGCCGCCGCCGCCGCCGCCGCCACCGCGCGGAGGAAATCAGGGGCGGGCGCGGAGGCGCGGACACCGCCGGCGGCCCCGGGGGCGGGCGGGCGGCGGGCTGGGGAGGGGCCCGGCCGGCCGGGCGGGCGGCGCCCTCCTTTCCTCCGCCGCCGCCTGCGCTTGGCGCTGCCGCGGGGGGCGCTGCGTACGCACAGGCCGCGGGGCCGCCGCCGCCTCCGCGGCTCCCGAGGCGGCGCGGGGTGGGACTCGCTGCGGTGCCAGGGACGGCCAGGGGCGGCGGCGCGAGCCGGCGGAGCGGCGGGAGGGTGCCGCGGGGAGCTGAGGGGCGGGGACGCCGAACCTCTGGAGGCCTCGGGGACGCCCGGGTTCAGGCAACCGGGCCCTGTCGCCCGCCCCGCAGGGCCCGGGTCCGGCGTCCCGCCGCCGTCCCGGGAGCGACCGGGACGTGTGCGATCCTGGCAGCCGAGGGACGTGAGCGCGGACGCGCGGGGCGAGATCCAGGCGCTCGGGGCTGCGAAGGAGCGGGAGCCCCCGGCTGTCCCCGGCGAGCGCCGCGCGCACTCCGTCCCCCGGTGGCCGTCTCAGGCGGGCGGAGATGGGCCGAGGACGCCCCTCCCGGGCTGGGGCTGGGGGGCCTGCTTCGGGCCCACCTGGGAACTAGGGGCCGGGAGAGAGAGGGAGAGACGCTCCGGAAGGCGCGGGAGGGGGGGGGTGCGCCGAGACAGAGCAACGGTCGCAGCGAAGGGGACATCGCTGTCGATGTGTCCCAGGGGAAAAGGCGCCGAGGGCCGCGGGGACCGCTCCCTGCACCCGCCCAGGCCGGGCCCGCCGTCCTTGGGAGCGCTGGGACCTGCCTCCCGCCGTTTGTTAACATGAGCCCAGATCCTCCCCAGTGCACCGCTGTTTTAAACCCACCGCAAACTCGAAAAGTCTGTCTCTTTTAGATAAACAAGGGGAAAGAAGAAAGAAAACACTGTTTTTTATTATACGGTGCCCCAGTGATTTCAGGGCAAAGATTAGCCATGCCGAGGGTTTTCCCTAAAACTTCAGGCGAGCTTGACAGCCAAGCCAGCATCCATCTGCACCAGGGCACTAGGACAGCGGGTTGAGGCCCCGGGAGGGAAAAGTGCCGCACGCAGGCAGGGGGTTCGTGGGAAACCTCTGTCCCTTCGGCTAAATGTCCTGAACCAAAAACTGCTCGCAGAAAATAGTCTATTAAAAGGAAGGGGGAAAAGAGCCTCCTGTGCAGGGTCGGCTTCGCGGGCTTATGACCCGTGTCGCCACGGAGAAAGTCCCAGCGTTTGGAAGACTTGTGTTTGGTTTATCCGACACTGTTGCCCTCTCGAAATTTCTAATTTTGGAAGGAAAGGCCATCCTGCTCATATGATTTTGCACTCCCCCCACATCACATGATTCTTTTAAAGTTTAATTAGCATAATGAATTAAAGTAATCTATTGTTAAAAGCCATAAAGTAATTTTGCAGCTAGGAATGAACCCATTACCTCACATGTAGCTTTGTAAAGCTGGTGCTCATAGCGAGCTAGAGACCTCAACTTTCTGGTTTCAGGCATTCACAATGTATTTGTAAGAATCAAATGTTTTCCATATTTTATGCCGTTTAAGAGACCTTTTAAAATTCCACACAGTCCACACAAGGCCTTGAGAAAGAGGAAGATAATTCACCCTCTGAATGTAACCTGCTCTGATGTAACCTCAAATGACATCCCCTATAATTAAAATGAAAATTTGGTAATTATTTATTGTGTTACGTGGTGTCAAGTAATATTTTCTAAAAGACTTCCCAGAAAAACAGGAAATACTTGTGACAGGACTCTTCTCTATGGTAAATTCCCAAAAGGTGTGTTTTAATATAGTCAAATCTTATTTAATATATACGAAGAGAGCTTGTTATTTAAAGGAATTCTCTGGGAAGGAGTTCTTTTCTAAAGCAAATATCACCTTACGGTTACTCTAGGTTTCCGTGGGCTCGTTTTACTCAAAGCAATCTAATTACACTGACCTTTGTCTGGAATGTGGGGTTGATGAGGTCTTCGATCAATACTCATCAAGTCCAGTTTGCTTTGGCTGGTCTCTGGACAAGGACCCGCCACATCGCTACCGGTGCTGCTGCTGGCCCATGTAGACACATAGCTTCCCTCTTCAGGAGGAATGGTGAGAAAGTTCCAGTGAATCAATGAAAGGCTGCCATCCTCGTTTGAGTATTCTGTAAGTGTATTTCTCGAATGAGTGATTGAATGGTGTCATCTTTGATTACGGTAAAGAGCACTTTTTAGATTGGAGAGGCCTCCAAATTTCGATCACATAGTGGCAATATGGAAGTTAAGGGGACATTTGATTATTTTTTTCTGTCAAAGACTCAAAGTCAGAGAACTGATTTCAAAGGGGGGGTTTTTGGCCTCTCTTTTGCTTCCTCTTTTTAACTTAGTCGTTGTTTGAAAAGATAACTCCAGAGAAACAATTGATGATAATGAATGGGGAGTTTTCTAAATTACACAGAACCCAAGAAGAGATCACAAAGTCATTTTTTTACACTGGATTCAGAGGGTTATCTTTCAAAGGGTACAGCTTTATCTTCAATTTATAGAATTTTTGATCAAAGGACATTGCAAGATTTATAGACTACACTCAAAAGTGTGAGGAAAAAATACATACATATAGGAAAATGCTGGAAGAAAATGCTGCACTGTTAACTGTGTTTAGATACAGCTGCATAGTATTATTAATATCTTTTTATGCTATATTTAACATAATGGGCATATAGCAGCTTATTAAAAAAAGTTTTTAAAACTATTTACAAAATGTCATCAGAAGTGCAAGTGGTCATTAATATCAGAGCATGGGAAAAGTTACTCTTCACGGAAACAATCTTATAAACAACCAGCCATATGCCATTGTGTTGGTGTTTAAAATTATTAAAATTAGTAACTCCAATTTTTGAAGAAAAAGTTACATGTGTGTCTCATTTCCTTTTTTTCTGGAATTGGTCTCAAATGACTATGCACGAGTTACCCCTATATCTGTTGCAAAGGACAGAATAAAAGGTCATGTTTAAAAATCATCCAGTTCTCTAACTCTGCAACTCGGATTTCCTTAATTGGATTGGAATTGTAGTCATGGATGGGATCTGGAAGAAGGTGTCATAAAGATTTGTGGAAGATTGACTTTATAGTGTTATGTACACACTATAATTATCCTCTCTTGTGTATTTAATGTACCAGTTTACTTAATAGATAGTTCTAGTGGAAGATTTAGTCCTGGATATTGGTGTCTTTTTTTGGATATTGGTGTTTTGAAATGAGTAGGAAGCCCCCTCCCCTCATAGACTAGCTATAAATTCAATCCGTATAGTTCTACATCTGAGCCTCATACAGTTTTACTCCATGGCCCATTGTGGGTGGCATGGGGAAGCCTCAGATTTCTAGACTATTGAATTGTGCTCATATGAATATTGTTCTATTTGATGAAGTCATGATTTCTGCCCAGATCCAAGCTTCCAGAGAGCAGGAAGACAAGTTGTCTACTTCCCCCACCAAGCTGCATGTTTTACTTTTGTGGTCTCTGTGTCATTCCAGCCCAAGCCTTGTAACAATTTGACTGGGCCAATGATCAAAGCCAGTTTTTGTACTCTCAACACATCCCAACAATAGGAGGTAGGAGGTGAGTGACATGGGTAAATGGTCCAGAAATGGAATATTTGCTATAGATAAACTAGAATTAGCTAGTTATATTCTGCTAGGAGTTTCAGTTCTCACTTTTAATGATTTCATTAATATTTTTAAAGGGACCACACAGATGCTTCCAAAATGTTGAACTGCGAGAAGGAATAGAGAGAGTTTCTCTAACATGCTGATATCGATATGGTCTGCAGACTATTTTGGTAAGTGAAAAGAACTGTAAAATGGCATGCTATTTTGGGGGGGAGGGAGGTGGAATGGGAGAGAAATAGGAATATGGTTGTGCATGTATCTGTGTATTTGCTTATATTTGTGAAGAAGACACACTGGAAATATAATCCAAAAATTATTCAAGTGCTTATCCATGGGGAAAGAAAGAGCCCAGGGTCGGTCAAATAGGGATGGAAGAAGGAACTCTCTGAATATATTTTGTAATCTAATTTTGGCTTTGGAAACATTCATGTTTTAAGTGATGAAAACAGAAAAAGCAAAAGAAGACAATTATAGGCAGAAGACGTATACATGTCATGCATGGTTTTTTTTTTTTTTTTAGTTTTTTCCTCTTTTATTCTGAGGAAAGGATTTGAGACAGCTTTAATCAGAGCACAGATATATGCCTTATCCGGACATAATGCCCTTTTACATTTTATTTTTATAAAAAAATTTTTTTTTCTATAATTGCTAGAGAATGAAACAAATGGGGAACCTCTTGCCAGGTCAGTTTTTTAACCTGATGGCATTGTGTATTGATAACTAACTTTGTGTCTGAAAAAATGACTAAAAAAACAAGAGCAAGCTTTGAGATGGATTCTGCTTATGCCACTCAAAAATACCACCACCACTAGCCCCTGACTTTCAGGATTCTGGAAGCAGTGTACTTTATAGAGGTGAGCACGTGATGGTTTGCTGACTTGTATTTGGCTCATTATGGTGACACACAAAGGATACAGGCTCTGCAAACCTTAAGTCAGGTAATTCCTAAGGAATTGAATGGAATGGAGGTGTAACTGAGATTAAA